TTTTGGGGGGGCCGGGGTGGGAAGGGGATGAGCTGACTCGGGCTTCCAGGAAAAGGGCGTAATCTGCGAGAACAGGCCTCCCTGCCTCAGCCGGAGGGATTGATGTGCTCCCGCTTCAGCTTCCGCCCCCGGCCTCTACCTCTGCTCTGGGCAGCAGCGCTGTGTGTTCAGCGGGATGTAATCGCCTCCCTCCTCCTGGCAGGGGCTGGGGAGCTGCCAGTTGGCACAGCCCTCCTCCCGTCGCCCCGTGGGCTGAGCGGCCTCTAACCCCGCGCGCCAGCTCGGCTTTGCTGCCAGGGCCACGGCCACCTCCGTTTTCCTGGCAGGGAAGGGGCAAATCGCCAGCCAGCAACAGGCTGGCTCCTTCCTCCACTCCTACATCAGAGCTGCGGGTGCAGGGATGAGGGATGCAAGTGCCACGGAGGATCGGAGGAGATTGCTCAAGCGCTGGGGCTTGGCGGCGGTCCCGGCAGGACGGACTGGCGAGGGCGATCGCAGCAGGAAGCTGCCCAGAGCATCTCTGCTCCATCCAGCGCAGCGACAGCCCTTGTCCTGCTGCGGGGGACGGGGGCAGCTCTGCCCCTGCACCCAGCACTGCTGGAGACCCGGCAGCCGAAGGAGACCCTGCCCGCCTGGGTCCTGCTCCTGGGTCCAGAGGGACATGGAAGCACCTGTCATCTGGGAAGGCATGGGAGGAAATCCTCCTCCTGGAGGGAAGTGAGCTAGACTGCGTTGGGATCAGCTTAGGAGACCGATTTTGCTTGGCTTCTCATTTCCTGCCCCCCGCAAACTCCCAGGCAGAAGCTGCATCCTGGAATTAAGCTGATAAAACCGGACATAGGACAGAGTCTCCTGAGGCTCAGCCCTGTCCCTCTGCCACCCCACAACGACGGTGCAACAAGATCTTTCCTTCCACGCTGCCGTTACAAGAGGCGAAGTTTCAGTCTAAAGCGGGGAGGGTGCGAGAAACCGAATCCCCGCGGACGGGGCGGCGCTGCGCAGCACCCAGCACACGCACATTTTTCCCCGCGCACGTCACCCGGCCGAGGGGGAGGGAAGGGGTGAGCCGGCTCCCAGCCACTCCTCTCGCGCCCGCTTATCG